TTCTTCACACAGAGAATAGGGTTGTTGAATCAACCTGTTAACCGCCTTACCGTCGATAGGGGGACCCAATAACATGTACACGTCCTCTAGTGTGACGGTACATTCACCTATTGGTAGATGAAATGTATGGGTCTCTGGTCTCCACATTTCCAACATTGCAAGTATGAACTTTGAATATATTGTGCAGTTGGAGATCTTTATAACGTTTCAGAAACCTGCATAATCGAGATATGGTACAATTACCGGGTCAGGAGCAAGGTAGTTGTGTGACCAAATTCTAAATCTTTTAGTATCCTAAGTTAATAATGTAAATGGTGTAAGAGTAGGTAAGTAAGATGAACAAAGCATTACTGGAAGTATGAAAAATGTATAAGTATAAAAGAAACTTACAAATGCTGCAATGTTGTCCTTGTGCCTCTGTGAGAATCGCCCATTGTGAGAAGAGCCATTGTTGAAAATGCCTGAGATTATGAAAGAGTTTGAAATTGTAAGAGATTATGAAAGAGTTTATAGCAGAGAGTGAGCCGATTGTGGATGCGAGAGAAGTATGTAATGCTCTATATTTATAGGCAAAAAATGCATAGAGTAAATGAGGTGGTAGGTGGGTGCATGCATGCATGATAAGTGGAAGCCTTGGAGAAGGCATCTCTGCATGCATGTAACACAATTGGACATGAAGGGAGGCGCCATCAGACTTGGAGAAAGAGTACAAAAATGAAAGGTGTCGCCATCCCTATTGGCGAATAAGAGGTGGCATGGGTTGCAGTGTAGGTGCAGGCGAGGTGACAGCCTTGAAGAAGGCATCTCTGAATGCATGTAACACTATTGGACGTGATGGGAGGCGCCTTAGAGGTTGCAGTGTAGGTGCAGGCTATGTGGCAGCCTTGGAGAAGGCATCTCTACATGCATGTAACACGATTGGACATGAAGGGAGGCGCCATCGGACTTGACGAAAGAGTACAAAAATGAAAGGTGTCGCCATCCCTGTTGGCGAATAAGAGGTGGCATGGGTTGCAGTGTAGGCGCAGGCTAGGTGACAGCCTTGGAGAAGGCATCTCTGAATGCATGTAACACTATTGGACGTGATGGAAGGCGCCTTAGAGGTTGCAGTGTAGGTGCAGTGTAGGTGCAGGCTAGGTGACAGCCTTGAAGAAGGAATCTCTGAATCCATGTTGGTTAATTCAAATTCAGTACAACCTATTTAATCTTACATTTATCAAAACACTCATACACTTAATCTCTTAAACACTAGAACATTCAAAAATTCCAACAATTAACTCATAAACTTCAAACCTTCAAACCTTCAAACAGTCTTACACAATGGCCTATACACCCCAATATGTGATCAGTGCATATTTTAACGGTGAGACATACATTTGTCCCACCTCTGGGTTTTTGTTTAGAGACACTGAGAACATCTTATTTTGTTTAAACAGGAAAGCTAATTTCTTGTACTTCAAAAAATGATTGGAGGACAAACTTGGACGAGGCCCCGTGACACAAATATTTTATCAGAATCCGGTTTTTTTGGAAATAACCAAATAATATTTTATAAGGTTGAGGTTCAAGATGAAGAGGACCTTCAGAATATGTTTTCCAGTCATAAGTATTTTGGGTACGACTCTATTGAGTTGTACATTATGTTGCGAGAGCCTCAGCTGTCACAAGCGGTTGATCCTTTGGAGACGGAACAAGCAGAAGTGTATGTCGTTGATGAAGAAGAAGAAGAAGATGACGAGTTGGAGTTTGAAGAAATGGTCAATGATGATTCTGAAGACGATGGGATACCTGGTATTCCTGCAAACGAGATCTACACACCACCTCTGCACATGACAAACTTCAACATGGGCAGAGATGAACCGTCTTCTGATTTATTTTTCAATCAGTATATGCAGTCGGATGAAAACATAAAATAGAAAGACAAATTTCGTAACAGAGAATAATGTATCAGAGCCATCAAAAAATTTCACATGCTCAACTCGGTCGATTTTAAGGTGGACCATGTAAATCCAGAAAGATACAAGATCAAGTGTGTCCACCCTGATTGTATGTTCAAGCTCATTGCATCATACAGATTAAGAGGTGATTGTTGGTTCATAGGTTCCATGTCTACCCACACTTGTGTCAGTTCTACTCAATCACAGGATCATCGAAAACTTAATTATGATCTCATTTGTCAAGAAATCCTACCACTCGTCAGCAACGATCCATCATTGAAGGTGAAAACCATAATCTCCCACATCACAAGGGTATTTAACTATACTATGTCTTATCGAAAGGCGTGGTTAGCAAAGACCAAGGCGATTGAAAAGGTATATGGAAACTGGGAGGAGTCATACCAAGAACTTCCTCGCTACCTGAATGCACTCCAGAATTATTCTTCGGGTACTGTTTACATTCTGGAAACAGTGCCAGCATACGCCCCGGATGGTAGTCAACTCAACGGAAATGGAATATTCAGTCGAGTGTTTTGGGCTTTTCAACCTTGCATCACAGGGTTTGCGTCATGCAAACCAATTATACAAATTGATGGGACTTGGTTGTATAGGAAATACAAAGGCACGCTACTGATGGCAGTTGCACAAGATGGCAACAACAACATTTTCCCAATTGCCTTTGCCCTAGTCGAGGGGGAGACTGGTGGTGCTTGGAGCTTTTTTCTCAAAAATCTGCGAACACACGTGGCTCCTCAACCAGATCTCTGTTTGATCTCTGATATACATGCATCCATTGAAAGTGCATACAATAATCCTGCAAACGATTGGCATGATCCTCCTTCTACGCATGTCTATTGTGTTAGACATATCGTCTAAAATTTCACGAGGGAGATCAAAGACAAAACACTTAGGAAAGCGGTTATGAATGCGGGATATGCATTGACACAACCTACGTTCAAATATTATCGCAACGAGATCCGTTTGTCAAATCCAGAAGCCGGTAGGTGGATCGATAATATTCTGGTAGAAAAATGGACTAGGTCATACAACAATGGACAAAGATAGGGCCACATGACAACAAATCTAATTGAATCGATGAATGGGGTACTCAAAGGCATAAGAAACCTCCCGGTCACTGCTTTGGTTAAATCAACATATTTTAGGATGGCTTCGTTGTTTGCCAAAAGAGGTGAAATGTGGAATGCGGTGTTGCAATCTGGACAACTATGGAGTGAAAGCTGCATTAAGTACATTAAGGAAGAAAGTGCCAAAGCCAACAACCATATGGTTATAAGGTTTGACCGACACAGCCACAACTTCATTGTCAAAGAGACAATCGACCACAACGAGGGCCTGCCAAGACAAGAATATAGGGTTGTACTACCTTCTCGTTGGTGCGATTGTGGCAAGTTTCAAGCCTTTTGTATGCCTTTCTCTCATGTCATTGTCGCGTGTGCCTATACTCATCAAGACGCGCTACAACTTCTATCACACATTTACAAATCTGAAACGTTGCTCAACGTTTACAATAACAGCTTCCCTTTGGTAGCAAAACCAGATTATTGGCCTGCATACAACGGCGAAATAGTATGGCACAATGACCAAATGTGAAGGAATAAAAAGGGTCGTCCCAAAAGTAAGCGCATCACAACCGGAATGGACTCCCTTGACAAGATGGAAAGAAAGTGTGGTTTATCTCGTCAGGTCGGACACAATCGCAAAAATGTCTGAATCGGGCTACTGCCTCAACCACATAAAAATTATATTACAAAAAATCTTTCTTTTATTATATTGTAAACATTAGGGTTTTTCGTTAACAATATTTGTTACAATAAACATTGCGCGAACAAGAAAAAAAACACGATAAACCATCTATGAAATTACAACCGTTAAAACAATTTCATCTGACTCATGCATCATCAACATTACGTCGCTGTCTGTTTTGACTTCCTCCAACCAAAAATTAGGTCTTCTTGTCGCAAGTGAGGTTGTTGTTCGTCTTTGCTGGATCCGTCTAATTTGTTCCCCCTCCACGATATCTCCCTCTAGCCATCGCATCAACTCCCTCTTCAGACGCTCCATGGAGTGAATGTGCCAGAATTTCATTTTCGTGAGAGGTTTTGTGGCGGAGAAAATAACGTAAGCATCTCTGGTAAAAATCATGGGCGATGTCATGACGCAAATAACAGAGTAGAAAATAAGAGAACAGTGCAAGAAAGTGTGAGGAATGACGGAGAAACTGACGAATTATTTATAAAAACAACATTTTGCCCTAGGAGCCAAGTGAGATGGCGCCTCCTCTCACTTTTAAAGTGCATGCGCCATCTCACTTGGCTAAAAGAGAGAGGAGGCGCCAAGTGGGATGGCGCCTAGGACAAGAATGTGAGTGGAGGCGCCAAGTGAGATGGCTCCTCCCTTGGGGAGTTTTCTGAAACATGGTTATTTGCGTAATTTTTTCCAAAACCTGATTATTTACGGGAAAAAAAAATTAATACATGATTATTCCAAAAAAAATCGTTGTTTTTCCCCCCTTTATAAATTTATTTATCAGCAGTAACAACTAAATAAATTCACAAGAAAATTGGAAAGTTTGGAGTTGTTAATGCTCAATTGAAGAAACCAAAAGTCTTGAAAAATATAAGCCAATAAAAGAGATAGATAAAGTGGTTAGTCTTATTTGAATTTTCAAAATAAAAGTGTTAAACAAGAATACAAAGAATCGTTTGTAAAAAATAAAAAAATAAAAAAGAATGCAAAGAGTGTCAATTTTTATGTGATAAGATGCAATTTTTTCTTTATTTGAGGTATTAGTAAAAAAATTATGTGATAGGATGCAATGTTCTTTGCCCTTAGTTCAGGTGTGAGCTGAGTCTCCGCAACCGCATTGACATGCAATTCCGGTATCATATTGGATTCAAATGTTTCTAAACAAATTTATGTAATAATTTTCCAATCAGTTTGAATTAAGTGAATAAAACAAGAGTTGTTGAAAACAAGATGATCATCCAAACTCACAAAATTCACAATGCAACCACATTTTGAAAATTCTTTACTTCAACAAATCTATTCCATCACAATTTCAACAGATTCATAACCTCTTTGAATAGACTCCTTCACAGCATCCAACACAAGCTGAGTCTTTCTACTAACAACACACCATTTCTTCTCAGGCTTCATTTCCAACCTCTTAACCTTTCCAACCAAATCAGCGAACTCCTTAACCATCCAAACATCTTGAGAAAACTCGGTCTCAACAACATGTTGATTAGGTTTAGGACACCACATTCCTTGTTCAATCTTCCCATAATCAATCTCCGAAGACTCCGAGAACGTTCCATATCCAAAACTCTCTTCAAACGGAAGTGTTAAATCATGAAGTCTAAGAGAGCCTTTTGTTCCCAAGATTGTTACATCAAATGTTAGATAGGTTAAGAAAGAGCAATGGAATGTGGCAGATTTTCCGTCTTCCCAATGTAACGAAGAACCGCATGATATGATTACGTTGTCTTGGTTGAGTGTTGCTTTTGGGAATGCAAGAACTGATTTTGGAAGTTGGTAGTTAACTGACCATAAGATTGCTTGGATGCTGTACCAACCAATGTCACCAAGAGCACCAAGACCATCTAAATCTGGTTTCATGCGGATGCTGTTTTTGAGAAACTCAGGACCAGGGTTATATGTCATGCAACTGTGTATCTGATTATACAAACAAGTACAACACATTAGCTAAACATTAACATGCATATCGACTTCTCGTTAAATAAACTTTAAGAATGTTTTAAATAAAAATTTATTTGACATTCACCCAACTGTTAAATATTTGTAGATATTTAATTTTCTTAATCATATATAAAATATTATTTATCAGTGTACTGATTGTGTAAAATATTTTATATTGAAAATGCAATAATAATTATTCTTTTTAAATAAATAAATTTTATCAATTTTTTATTATACTTTAGAATTTAACTAAAAATAATAAAAATATATATCTAAATAAAAGGGAAATAAACAATAAATTGCGTCTGTTACTCTTTTTAGAATTTATCCAATTAAACTGGTTATATTTAATATGATTCTATTTAATAGGATAAAATTTGATTATAATTTTTTTTTCTATCCTCATATTCTTAAGATTAGAAGGTAACTAAATAATCTACAATCATCACTATTAAAAATTAGAAGGTTAATCAATTAAATAGAATATGGCTAAAAACCATGTTTCTATTTAATTAGAAGGTTAATACATGGATATTTAATTAGAAGGTAACTAAATTTTTTTTTTTTGAATAATCATGTATTAAATTTTTTTTTGCAAATAACCATGTTTCAGAAAAAATTACGCAAATAACCATGTTTCAGAAAACTCCCCAAGGGAGGAGCCATCCCACATGGCGCCTCCACTCTCAATCTTGCCCTAGGCGTCATCCCACTTGGCACCTCCTCTCTCTTTTAGCCAAGTGAGATGGCGCATGCACTTTAAAAGTGAGAGGAGGTGCCATCTCACTTGGCTCCTAGGGCAAAATGTTGTTTTTATAAATAATTTGTCCGTTTCTCTGTCATTCCTCACACTTTCTCGCATTGTTATCTTATTTTTTACTCTGTTATTTGCGTCATGACATCGCCCATGATTTTTACCAGAGATGGTTACGTTATTTTCTCCACCACAAAACCTCCGATGAAAATGAAATTCTGGCACATTCACTCCATGGAGCGTCTGAAGAGGGAGTTGATGCGATGGCTAGAGGGAGACATCGTGGAGGGGGAACAAATTAGAAGGATCCAGCGAAGACGAACATCAACCTCACTTGCGACAGGAAGACCTAATTTTTGGTTGGAGGAAGTCAAAACAGACAGCGACGTAATGTTGATGATGCATGGGTCAGATGAAATTATTTTAACAGTTGTAATTTCGTAGACGGTTTATCGTGTTTTATTTCTTGTTCGCGCAATGTTTATTGTAACAAATACTGTTAACAAAAAACCCTAATGTTTATAACATAATAAACGAAAGATTTTTTGTAATACAATTTTTATGTGGTTGATGTAGTAGCCCGATTTGGACAATTTTTGCGATTGTGTCCGACCTGACGACATAAACCACACTTTCTTTCCAGCTTGTCAAGGGAGTCCATTTCGGTTGTGATGCGCTTACTTTTGGGACAATCCTTTTTATTCCTTCGCATTTGGTCATTGTGCCATACTATTTCGCCGTCGTATGCAGGCTAATAATCTGGTTTTGCTACCAAAGGGAAGTTGTTATTGTAAACATTGAGCAACGTTTCAGATTTGTAAATGGGAGACAGAAGTTGTAGCGTGTCTTGATAAGTATAGGCACACGCAAAAATGACATGAGAGCAAGGCATACGAAAGGCTTGAAACTTGCCACAATCGCACCAACGAGAAGGTAGTACAACCCTATATTCTTGTCTTGACAGACCCTCGTTGTGGTCGATTGTATCTTTGACAATGAAGTTGTGGCTGTGTCCGTCAAACCGTATAACCAGATGGGTGTTGGCTTTGGCACTTTCTGCCTTAATGTACTTCATGCAACTTTCACTCCATAGTTGTCCAGATTGCAACACAGCATTCCACATTTCACCTCTTTTGGCAAACAACGAAGTCATCCTAAAATATGTTGGTTTAACCAAAGCAGTGACCGGGAGGTTTCGTATGCCTTTGAATACCCTATTCATCGATTTAATTAGATTTTTTGTCATGTGGCCCCATCTTTGTCCATTATCGTATGACGTAGTCCATTTTTCTACCGGAATATTATCGATCCACCTACCGGCTTCCGGATTTGACAAACGGATCTCGTTGCGTAATATTTAAACGTAGGTTGTGTCAATGCATATCCCGCATTCATAACCTCTTTCCTAAGAGTTTTGTCTTTGATCTCCCTCGTGAAATTTTGGACGATATGTCTAACGCAATAGACATACGTAGAAGGAGGTTCATGCCAACCGTTTACAGGATTATTGTATGCACTTTCAATGGATGCATGTCTATCAGAGATCAAACAGAGATCTGGTTGAGGAGCCACGTGTGTTCGCAGATTTTTGAGAAAAAAGTTCCAAGCACCACCAGTCTCCCCCTCGACTAGGGCAAAGGCAATTGGAAAAATGTTGTTGTTGTTATCTTGTGCAACTGCCATCAGTATCGCGTCTTTGTATTTACCATACAACGAAGTCCCATCAATTTGTATAATTGGTTTACATGACGCAAACCCTGTGATGCAAGGTTGAAAAGCCCAAAACACTCGATTGAATATTCCATTTCTGTTGAGTTGACTACCATCTGGGGCGTATGCTGGCACTGTTTCTATAATGTAAACAGTACCCGGAGAATAAGTCTGGAGTGCATTCAGGTAGCGAGGAAGTTCTTGGTATGAATCCTCCCAGTTTCCATATACCTTTTCAATCGCCTTGGTCTTTGTTAACCATGACTTTAGGTAAGACGGAGTATAGTTAAATACCGTAGTGATGTGGAAGATTATGGTTTTCACCTTCAATGATGGATCGTTCCTGACGAGTGGTAGGATTTCTTGACAAATGAGATCATAATTAAGTTTTCGATGATCCTGTGATTGAGTAGAACTGACACAAGTGTGGGTAGACATGGAACTTATGACCCAACAATCACCTCTTAATTTGTATGATGCAGTGAGCTTGAACATATAATCAGGGTGGACACACTTGATCTTGTACCTTTCTGGATTTACACGGTCCACCTTAAAATCGACCGAGTTGAGCATGTCAAATTTTTGATGGCTCTGATACATTCTTCTCTGTTACGAAATTTGTCTTTCTCTTTTATGTTTTCATCCGACTGCATATACAGATTGAAAAATAAATCAGAAGACGATTCATCTCCGCCCATGTTGAAGTTTGTCATGTGCGGAGGTGGTATGTAGATCTCGTTTGCAGGAATACCAGGTATCCCATCATCTTTGGAATCATTATTGACCATTTCGTCAAACTCCAACTCGTCATCTTCTTCTTCTTCATCAACGACATCTACTTCTGCTTGTTCAGTCTCCAAAGGATCAACCACTTGTGACAACTGAGGCTCTCGCAGCATAATGTACAACTCAATAGAGTCGTACCCAGAATACTCATGACTGGAAAACATATTCTGAAGGTCCTCGTCATCTTGAACCTCAACCTTATAAAATATTATTTGCCTGTTTCCAAAAAAAACGGATTCTGATAAAATATTTGTGTCACGGGGCCTCGTCCAAGTTTGGCCTCCAATTGTTTTTTGAAGTACAAGAAATTGGCTTTCCTGTTTAAACAAAATCGGATGTTCTCAGTGTCTCTAAACAAAAACCCAGAGGTGAGAAAAATGTATGTCTCACTGTTGAAATGTGCACTGATCATATATTGGGGTGCAGAGGCCATTGTGTGTGACTGTTTGAAGGTTTGAAGTTTATGAGTTAATTGCTGTAATTTTTTAATGTTCTAGTGTTTGAGAGATTAAGTGTATGAGTGTTTTGATAAATGTAAGATTAAATAGGTTGTACTGAATTTGAGATGCCTTCTAAGGCGTCTCCCATCACGTCTAATAGTGTTACATGCATGCAGATATGCCTTATCCAAGGTTGTCACCAAGCTTGTGCCTACACTGCACCTACACTGCAACCTCTAAGGCGCCTCCCATCACGTCCAATAGTGTTGTTACATGTATTCGGAGATGCCTTCTCCAAGGCTGTCACTTAGCATGCGCCTACAGTGCAACCCATGCCACCTCTTATTCGCCAACAGGGATGGCGACACCTTTCATTTTTGTACTCTTTCGCCAAGTCCAATGGCGCCTCCCATCACGTCCAATAGTGTTACATGCATGCAGAGATGCCTTCTCCAAGGCTATCACCTAGCATGCGCCTACACTGCAACCCATGTCACCTCTTATTCGCCAACAGGGATGGCGACACCTTTCATTTTTGTACTCTTTCGCCAAGTCCAATGGCGCCTCCCTTCACGTCCAATCGTGTTACATGCATGCAGAGATGCCTTCTCCAAGCCTGTCATCAAGTCTACTCCTACACTGCACCTACACTGCAACCTCTAAGGCGCCTACCATCACGTCTAATAGTGTTACATGCATTCAGAGATGCCTTCTCTAAGGTTGTCACCTAGCATGCGCCTACACTGCAACCCATGCCACCTCTTATTCGCCAACAGGGATGACGACACCTTTCATTTTTGTACTCTTTCGTTAAGTCCAATGGCGCCTCCCTTCACGTCAAATCATGTTACATGCATGCAGAGATGCCTTCTCCAAGGCTGTCACCAAGCCTGCGCTTACACTGCACCTACACTGCCACCTCTAAGGCGCCTCCCATCACGTCCAATAGTGTTACATGCATTCAGAGATGCCTTCTCCAAGGCTGTCACCTAGCCTGTGCCTACACTGCAACCCATGCCACCTCTTATTCGCCAACAGGGATGGCGACACCTTTCATTTTTGTACTCTTTCTCTAAGTCCAATGGCGCCTCCCTTCACGTCCAATCGTGTTACATGTATGCAGAGATGCCTTCTCCAATGCTGCCACCAAGCTTGCGCCTACACTGCACCTACACTGCAACCTCTAAGGTGCCTGCCATCACGTCTAATAGTTTTACATGCATTCAGAGATGCCTTCTCTAAGACTGTCACCTAGCATGCGCCTACACTGCAACCCATGCCACCTC